TTCTATCAATACAAAACACAGTAACAATAGCGCATTTTATATACATGGTCATTATTAATTACGGTATTAAGAAACACGTAAAAGCTCAGTAATTATATAAGTTTTATTGATGCTCAATGTACTAATTCTCATTTAACTCTCATCTAAGAGTAAACTTGTTTATTTTTACTTTTATTATGTAAAGTTCTAGCTTCTCTTTAACTGTCGACTGATGATTAATATAGAGTAAATTTCATATCATTAATTTTACAAAATTAATACCTTGTTTCAACAGTAAGCAAACTAATCAAGTAATAACAAAGGCAACTAAAAAAAAGAACATAATTATGTTTGACTTTAAAAAAAAATTTTAAATCATTTAAATTAATAACTATTATTAACTGTTACTATAAAAAGTAAAATTCACGCCTGGTATTGTTCTAAAGTGTTTGAAGTAAAAATAAATATACAGACATTAACACGGCTTGACACTGAATTCTAGCAATTAAGTTTTCTGCTCACCGAGCAGCATTTCTTACATTTCAGCAACAACTAATTTTATTTTGCCTAGCTCTGTTTTATTTATTTAGACAACAAATATTTTTGCCTATTAGCATTTACACAAACAAATTCTTCGCTTTTATTATTAAATTATCAACCATTTCAATTTCACTGTATTCTTTAAACATATTACCAGTAATATTACTATTGTAAAAAAAATAAAGGAATTCGAGAATATGTGTATATTAATATTTTTCAAGAGAAAATATTCATATAGAGAGAAATATAAAATATACTGGGATATAGTATAAAAACTTATTTGTCATCAGATCGCAGACAGTTTTCTGTGTTAAATAAATAAAATATATATTTAATATAGAATAAACCTATAAAATCTAATAAAGATTAACCTATAAAATCTAATAAAATAAAAAAATATGGCAAACTTACTAAAATCAGCACCAGTTCTACTGTCTAAAAATTTTCATTATTATTAACCCTTCTAATAATAATAATACTAAAATAACAACAAAGTGATCTGAAGTCACTAAAAATCACTTCACCTATTTCCAATTGCTCTAAAAAATAGCTTTTAGCTCTTTTCGATTGCACTAAAATATAAAACAAAACTATTACAAAACTATTATTGATTATTATGGATAAAAGCAAGACGCTGGCCTTCAATTTTGACATAGGCGTATCTACAGCGTATTGCTGAAACAGTTTCTTGAAATCAAATAATCTATAGAAAACTGCCTAACAAAAAGTCTATAATAGTAAAATTGAGATAATGTAACATGATTTCTAACCAGTGTGACACGCTCAGGGTTATGCATTAACTGATTATGCCAACCAGCATCACCTCTTGGGAAAAAGGATCCAAGTTGGCTAACATAATTGATAAAATTTTTAAAGGCTGACCTCTTGGGTAAATAACAATACTACTGTAAAAATTATTGTGGAATTTATTGGAAAAAAACATTTTTAGTTTTAGTAGATACCTACAAAAAAAAAAAAGAAAAATCTCGATTGAATATTTTATATTTCAAGCTATATTTTTTAATCGTTTGTGTAGATATCTACAAAAAAATGGTTTTCTCCAATAAATACCTCAGTAATTTTATATATTATATAATAAATTTATTTAATGTAAACTTCTAATAGTTAAATTTTAATGGATAGACTATTAGTCAGTTTAAAATAGAGGAAAAAATTTAAATTCAATTTAAAATAAAAATGGAAAAAGTGATGGTACTCGCTTTATTTAAAAATTGTTATTAGTACTTGTAACTTAAATTAAATAAATAAAAAATCTAACATCTCTAAGACTTAGGAACGTAGAATATGCTAATGTTTGGCGAAAATAATAAAAAAAAAAAAAAACGTTAACCAAAAAATACGGGGTGATAACTTTATGAAAAGATCTAACCCACGGCGATCTATAAGTAACAGGCCGTGAAACGCAAAACTTAGAAAAAAATGTGGGGGCCGATATTTCAAAAATCAATATAATAATTGTTTTAAAACAAAATATGTTGCTCCCGTTATATAAAGCATTAAACTATGTAAAAATTTGTACAATTTAGAAATCTTTTTAAGTTTTTAACAATAAACTGTATTTAATTGTTTCAATTCATAAAATTGCTTAAATAATGAAATAAAAAAGTTTTATATCAGGTAAAAAACAAAAGTTAAATAAAGTACTGTTAGGGGGTAACTCCACCTTTAAATAGGAATATATTTTAGTGATTTAAATAAATAAGAAATACTTTTAAAATCATAAAATAGAAACTTTAAATCAATTAATAAATTTCAATAAAGAAATAACAGCATAAGTGTCAATAAATAACTGTCAACTTAACAAGACAACTTTAACATTTTCAGAGACGGTTCTTTGTTTGATCTTGGTATGGAAAGTTTGCAGTGGTTTTTGATAAAAATATTTGACAGTATATTACCATTATGTTGTTCCATGTCAAAAGAGTGATGATCCGATATAAGCATAAAAGTGTTGCAAAGGGATGTCCGACAAACTTTATCTTTAATAGAGTTAAATAGTACAAATGAGAAGAAAACCCATTGAACAGTATTATCAAAAGGAACTTTTAACCCACCTCTATTGACTGATTTTAGATATTGATCAAACTTTTCAAAATAAAATATTGTTCTGGTTAAAAGCTCATTTTTGTTAAGCAAATCATCATTACGAGACACATATCCGGCTATATAAACAAGAGACATCTTTGATTGAACAGTTATACTTTTTTCTAGTGTTGGTAAATTATCAAAGACCTCAGCTGAAGATTCATCATGTAAAAATCCACAAAATTGGCAAGAATGTCCTGCATCAGGAGTTGACTCATTAATGTTATATGACAACAAAAGTGAAGTTTTAGAAATATTGAACTTTTCAATCATTTGTTGGACACTTAAAAAATATGTGCCACCAGATCCTTGTCTTAACTTGCTGAATTCTTTTTCAAGTGGGCCTGTTGTAAATTTTCCCAACATAACATATTTGTGTTTTTCTTTTAATAGTGTTTTTGTCAACTCAACAATTCCTTTACATGTATGATTTATGGAATATCCTGTATCATGTGTTAATTGTTTTATACGCTTCCCTTGATTACTTGTCATACGTAATGCCATTTCTCCGAAATTCCAAATAAATTTTAATATATCATCATTTGGATCTCTGATGACAGCTTGTCGATCATCATTAAACCTACAATCTACACCCACACTTTTTACATTTAAAACTTTCCACCATGTAACAACCATTTTAATAAAATCAGCAGTCTCATTTATGTTTAAGATGTTGGAGGTTTCGGGATGATTAAGTAAAGCGCTGTATGTTTTTTCAGAAAACACTTTTAGACAGGTAGAAACAGATTGTCTTTCAATATGACTGGGTCGAACAGAAACTTCATTCAAATCAGAAAGTTTCATTAGACAATTAGAATCAGCTTCAAAAAGTTTTATTAATTGACTCCAACAAGCTGTTTTCTCAACACCATTTTCATAAAAAATTAATTCTCCTTTTTTTTCTGTGAGCCAATTGTTTTGGATGTTTTTGATTAAGTGGACAAAGTCAAACAACAAATAGGTTCCATTGGTGGTTAGCCAAGGTTTTTCAGAAAATGTGTCAAATTTTTTTAAAAATTCCTTGATTAGTTCGATTTCCATCACATATAGTTACCTTTGTGTTGCCATTAGACTCTTTAACTGCTTCAACTGTCAAATTAATTTGATCATATAAAAATTGAGAATTTAATTTGTTTACAGGTAACATTTTCACAAGAAACTTAGGATCACCAAACATACAAGTTATCATGACACCTAAAACAGTTTTTGCAAGAGAATCTGGGTTATCTAACGCTTTTCCAAAAAGAGCACCTCCATGATATAATAACATTTTTTTAACATAAACCTCATCGTGGAGAATAATACAAGTATTTTGATCATCACTTAAATTATCAAAAACGTCTTTTAAAAAAAAATTATCATCAGATTTCGATACTTTAGAAGTAATGCGTGTCAATGTTCGAATAGAAGGTAGTTTAAAATCATCACGCAATTTTTTATAAAGTGTACGAGAGGTAGCAAAATACTCAAATGCTCTGATGATTACACTAAGACTATACTTATTTGTGTTTATGGAATCAATTTGCTCATTCATTACTATTTCCTTACTGTTTCGTGTCAAAAGGTTCAAGTATCGCAAGATTTCTTCAAATTTAGACCATGTGTTAACAATATTAGACACAGTATGTACTTTTCTTTTTACACCATTGAAATGTGATTCAAACTTTAAACAGCTATAAAATTTAATGATAAATTTTGGTGTTGCATAATTAATAAAATCTTTGGATTGTACACAAAGTTTACGATCTGAAATGAAAGCTACAACATCAACAGAAAAATTGCGTTTTTTATTTAACAATGGGTCACAAAAAAAGTCATAGTTAAAATTATCTTGTGCTAAAAATAAATAGATTTTGTCAAAAGAAGTTCGATTAGAGGATAATGCACGTTTAGTTGATCTTAAAGAGGGTATAGATGTTGGTATTTGACTTAAAGGAACATTGGGCCAAATTGATGGTGGATTTTTTGGTCTTTCTCTTCCTTTTACTTTTACTTTTTCAAAATTTTTGGGCAACACTGTCAGTGTTGCTTGTCACTTTTAAATTTGCATTAGGAATGGACTTTATCCAACATTTTTTCTCTTCTTCAGCTCTTGGAAATCTATAAAAAGACATTTTAGATTCGTTTGATTTTTTTTTCTGTGAAGTAATTCGTAGAACAGCCATAAACACAGCATTTTTTAACCATTTTTTATAAAAGTACAACTACGCCGATAATAACTTCAGTTAAGTTTTTTCTAAACTTTGCGTGTCACGGCCTGTAACTTAAAGAGCGCCATGATCTAACCTTTATGAAAAGGTCAATTACCTTAAACTTTAAGCTGGCGCACGAGGCGATTTTTAAATAACACGGAAATTACGGATGCGTGTAATTTTTCCAGGTAAGCGATTTGGAATTGTACTTTTAAACGACAGAATGCACCAGGAAGTGTTGTTTTTTATTTAGGAAATTGCTTGATTATATAGATTTGTAAGTGTTTGAATTATTATACATAATTTTTTGGTTTCTTTTTTGTTTTGTTTTGAACTATTTCATTGCAGCGTTAAATAATTTGTTAAAAAAAGTTTAAAGTTTTAAGTCTAACAACTTAACATAAAAATAAACCAAGACGAAATAAAATAGGTTGTATATAACAAATGTATATAACTTGGTATCAAAATATAGATGTAATAGTTGTTTATAAATTCATATTGGTCTGTATATATAGAGGTTGTCTAGAGGGTTAGAGTGAGTACTAAAACTCCATCTTCACAATTAAAAAAATAAACATTTTTTTAATAAAAGAGTGACTTTTTTATGAAATTAGTAACTTTTATATGTATATATATAAATAAGTAGCTTATACTTTTAACTATATATAAAAAAACATAGTTTGCATATAAATTTTAAATGTTCCAGATAATAATGTTGTTTTTTAATTCTTTCCCTTCTTCTCCTTCTACATCCCACTAATGAATTTTCAACACAGAAAATTAAGTACGAAAAGTGTGCACAAAAATAGAGATTTCATGCATACTTGTTTTTCGATATATTTTAGCAAGCGCGTTGTAAACGTTTAAACTTAAGGAGTATTTAAGTATGGAAAATAGCCTAACATTTCTGATATGTTTGTGGAATATATGAAATGTAACAATATTTTAGACATCAATAAATCCTCTATAAAGTTTATTAAATTATCAAATATGCACATATAATTAAAGTTTAACCATTCCAGTTTTTTAAAAATATTTATGCTAATATGAAATTCTAAAAGATAAATAAAAAAAAATCAATATAACCTCACTGTCCAAAACTAAACTTGAAAAAGCGTAGAACAACATTTTAGTACATTTATCGGTTCTGTAAAATGCAATTTCTGCATACCTATTAAGTTCAGTTATTAGATTATTACTAATTTTGTTGAGTTTTTTAGGAAAGGTATCAAGACATTATGAATATTTACAATTAATATGAACACTAAATTAAAATCAATCAATCAAATCAATCAATATATACTTCTGAAAAAGGTCTTACATTTCAAGGTTATTTATGAATAGTTGTAAACTAATATGAAGTAATCACCTTATTTTTCAATATAATATATCAGTATAAAGATAATGGTAATGTAAACATTATATCCAAAAACAATAGCAACAATAGATATTTATATTATATAAAATTCTTAAACAATATTGATTTTAATAAAAGCGACAGTAGTTATAATAATAATGTAAATAATAATTATAACAATAACAGCAATAATTGGAAAAAGAGTGACAATAATAATTACAACAATAATAACAAGAAAGTTAATAGTATTATTTTATAATAAAAGTAACAGAAAGACAGTAAAAGGAGAAAGTTATAAAAAAGCAGTAAAAATAGTAATAGTAACCATAAGTGTTTGGACTTACGTACATCCTTATTGGGGAGAGAGACGTAACTAAATTTAGTAGCCCTGTTTCTTTGAAGGGCCTAATATATATTTATTTATTTTTTCTCTCTTTTTTTTTTTTCACCATTTAGTTTTAATTTTTATTTTTATAATCTTTTCTTTCACTTAATATAATAACTTCATCAACATGCTTTGTTGTGCTCCTTAAAAAACCTTTTATTTAAAATTTAGCTAGTTGATTGCTTTTGGGTTTGTTTTAGAATAGAATCTTTTTAAGAAATCTTTTAATTTTAAAAGATTTCTTAAAAAGATTGATTGGTGCGATATTGTAAAAAATTTCTTAAAAAGATTGATTGATGCGATATTGTAAAAGATTGATTAGTGCGATATTGTAAACAATATTATAAGTTTTTAGTTTTACCCATGCATATTAAAAATTGTTAAAAAAATAACAATCTTTAACAATTTTTATTATATATTGGCTTTTAATTGATTTTAACTGCAATAATCATTCTAAAACTGTGAGATATTGTTTTATAAAAAAATCTAAAGATTTTAAATCAATATAATTAATCAAGAAAAAGATTTGTGAAAATGTATTAATCTTTGTTGCGTTACGTTCTGTCTTAATTTTACTTAATGATGTGTTGTTGTTTTTATAAATTTTTATAAATCGACAAGTAAAAATGTAAGAATATCAAGGTTTATATTTTTAATCAAGTCTAATATATGTTCTATTAAACAAATATCTTCAGTTGATAAAATTTGTTATTAATATTCTTTAATGTAGCTTATCAATATTCGTTTTGATTCCTATAACTTTTCAATCACGGCTCTTTCAATAAGCAGTTTTGTCATTAGCATATTGCTAAATACCATAACTCAATGTAAAAACAAAACAGTACAAAAAATATTTATATATTAAAAGGTTCATTCCAGCTTAATTCAAATTATGCTTGGCACCATGCCATCTCAGATTATGATGATTTTTGGAATAAAAGCTTATATTAATAAAAAAAAAATTCACTCCAAATTTTAGTGTCTGACTCCTTACGGTTTCAGAGATATCGATACTCAGTCCCAATCTCTTTTTTGATTAATTTTTCTATTTATTTTTTAAGCAAATTACATAAAACAATTAGCTATAACTTATAAAATACTTGCTCAATAGCAGGCCTTGTTATGAATAAAAAATGCTTTATGCATCAGCTTAACATGGTATTTGATGTCATGAAATTTTTTTTTTCATAAAGGCATCTTTTTAACTTACTGCAATACTATTAATTATTGCAAAACAAGTTGAATGTTATTCAACAGCTTTTTTATTATTACTATAAAAAGTTGTTTATTTTATTTTATTTTTTTGTAATATTGAATAATTTATTTTAATATTGCATTTTTAAAAATGTTTGATATTAACTAATTTCTTTCTTTTCTAGACATGCTTAAATTAATTTAAAAATATTGTTTAATTTTTGAGTTTTTAAAATAATTAGTTCATAAATTTCTATTTGCAGCTTTGCAACTACAAATGATTTTTTATTTGAAAAAAATTTGAGAGTAACAAATAAAAAATTGTGTCATTTTATTTACTTTATTTATTTAAAGAATATTATTTTAATATTAAAATTACATCGCTGAATATTGTTTAATAAAAAATAGTTGCTGTGTTTTTGTAACCGGTAAAAAACTGTAGGGTACATCCCTGTATATATATATTATATATATATATATATATATATATATATATATATATATATATATATATATATATATATATATATATATATATATATATATATATATATATATACTCATATAGTGTCGCTTTAAGAGCATTTTAATGTAAAAAAAGTCTCTTACGACTACAATTTTAATTACCTCGTCTCTTAAGCTGTTTTTGATTGTCATCGAAATGTCAAAGCAATTAATTTATGCGGAAGTACATTAAATTTAATTGTTTTTTAAAAAATTTTTAAAAAACCGCAATTATAACGACTAGAAAGTTTTTTTTAATTAGTGGTGTTTTTGTTATTGATTTAATAAAAAACATTTTTTAAACATGCGTAAATGTTGCTACATCGACTATCTTATAGCCTGATTCGCAACGGAGTGCTGCTACATCGACTGACAAATAGCCTGACTCGCAACGGAGTGCTGCTACATCGACTGACAAATAGCCTGACTCGCAACGGAGTGCTGCTACATCGACTGACAAATAGCCTGACTCGCAAGGGAATGCTGCTACATCGACTGACAAATAGCCTGACTCGCAAGGGAGTGCTGCTACAACGACTGACAAATAGCCTGACTCGCAAGAGAGTGCTGCTACATCGACTGAGGGTTTGGTTTGGCCAGGCAGTCTATCAATTAAAAAAAAAAATTTAATTTTTAAAACTTTTTCTGGTCTGGTTTATTAACGCGCTCTTTAAAACTACAGTTTATGGGAAATATTTTTTGATGCTACGCAAGAGACATGCAAGAGTATATATATATATATATATATATATATATATATATATATATATATATATATATATATATATATATATATATATAAGCAGTTTTGAAAACTGATTTCTATGAGGAGGTTAAATAAGATACAACGTGATGGGGCAATTTCTAAGCGGGAGGATTTGAGTAACAGTGGTGAGATATCATCTGGACCACACGATCCTGTTTTTAGTTTGTTAAGTTGGTTGAAAATGTTACTATAGGTGAAAGTAGGGGTAGTAGGCGGGTCTGCTAGACGGTTAATAAAGAGAGATAAATTAGGTTGTTTCTTATTGTTCCAAACACTTTAGAAGTGATCATTTAGCTCATTTGCTAATGTCTCAGTGATAAAATCAGGAATTAATATCACATACACATTAATATTTTAAAAGGTACTTTTTACTATATCTTTGTTTAAAAATTAAAAAATTCTTGCTTTTTTTGACAAAAGAAAAGCTATTTTATTATACATTACATTTTATTATACCACAATTGATTTTTATAGATTTAAAAAGATACTATTATACTCAAAAGAGTAATTGAAATAGTACAATGGAAAAGTATGAGTACGTTTTATTATATTGTTTTTTCACCATCACCACCTGACCCACTGTGCATTACCAATTACTTTGCAATGTAAATTAGTTTTGTTATTGAACAAAGAGAACACTTACATTTTGAAAACAACAAAAACTAGAAATAGAAATAAAATAAGAATTTAATTAATTAAATTAAAGAATTTAATTAATTAAATTAAAGAATTTAATTAATTAAATTAAAGAATTTAATTAATTAAATTAAAGAATTTAATTAAATTAAAGAATTTAAGAAAGTAGAAATAAAATAAGAATTTAATTATTTTACGAGTAAAAAATGATATTTTCTAAAAACTGTCTAAGTTTCGTTGAAGTTTCTCGATTTCTCTTAAACTCCAAAAAAAAAAACGAGAAAAATCCGACAAGAAATGGATCCATTGCTCCATATTTCAATTAATGTCAAGCTTTTAACAACCCTCTTTTCCCTTTATTTACTAAAATCATTTATGAATGGCCCCTAAACATATATTATTTTGCTACTTTAACAAATGTATAATTGAGGTTATTGTATGGAATTTGTTCTGTGAATAACTTTTTGATATCCCATTTAGACATTTTGCTTTATTTATTCTTGAATTACTTTTAATAGTAAAATTTTTTCATATTATATGCCTAATAGATACACACAAGCAGTGAATACCTAAGTAAAGAATTAAAGTTCATTTTAAAGTACATTAGTTGCTTGTTTGTGTTTTATAAAATTGAATTTTTAAATATTTTCTAAATATATTTAATTTTTATTATATTTTTTGCATTTTTGGTTTATGGCTAATTATTTATTAATGATTGATTATTTAATATAGATTTTATAAGTTCAAGAAATCATGGATCAAAGAATTAAATTTTTTGCCTCGTTTCGAATGAGATATAGCAATAACCTAGAATGTGAAAGCTCAACCAATTTGATCCTAAACCAATCACAAGAAAAAAGATTTCCAAGCTGTAATAAAATATGCATTTATGAAAAGCATTGGATTTGTTAGCAGTTGGATTGATGTATTATTTTATCTGCAGTATGAATCCAAAATAAATCCTGTTGTGGATATGGAAAAAGCGGTTCCTGAAATATTAGCGCAAATTTAAAAATTAAATGGTACTTGTTTTGTCTGTTGTGTGTTGTTAATCAGTTATTTTTGATGTAGGAGCTGTCCATTTATTACGTCAACAAAAACTTTTACCTCCCTCTCTTCCCTTGTCAACAATTTCTCAAACTTATAGACACTCCCCTTTAAAATTAGGTTAATTTTTGATTCCATCCCTCCCCCTCTTCCCAATCTCAAATCCTGTTAAAGAAAAAGCTGCACTACAAACATAGCCTGTTTTGAAATTTAAAAAAAAATTTTTGACGTCAACTTTACTTGACCTCCCTGGTGTCGATATTGTTTAAAAAGTTCAGACCCCCTCCCCTCCTCCTTGTTGACATAATTAATGGACAGCCCATGTATTAAAATTTGAATTTAATAATTTAATATTCTGGAAAACTAAACTTCTTTGATTTTTTTCAATATATACTTATTTTGTAAAGAGTTTTGAAAAACTTTTTACAATCTTACCATTCATTAATTTTTTTCTAAATATTATTCAAAATTTAAGATACAGGTAAAGGCTGGCCCGCCAAGAGGAGTGGGAAAGCCAAAAGGAACAGTTTGTCCCAGGCAGATAGTTTTTACTTTCAATAGTTAAAGAAATACATTAAGATTACCAAAAAAGTTGAATAATTTTTTGATACAGTAAGGCTCAATTTAATTTTTTATAAAGTCCTGGACAAAATGTACGATTAAAACTTGTTTGAGTCGGACAGTGTCCGATAAAAACTTTTAAATATAATTTTTACGGTTTTACGGAACCAAGTTATGCAATCAAAATCTGTCATGTTATTAAGTTTATTTAACGTTAGTTATTTTAAATATTTTATCGCAGATTTTTGCTTTTTTTTTTTTTTAATAAAAATTCCAATTTAATATTGCATGATTTTTTTAGATAGACTTGAACTTGCATGCTTTAACTGACAACGCTTTTATTTTTTTATTCTTTACAACTTGACGACGGTTTTTTTTATCTAAAAGCAAAAAAATCGTGACGTTACAAATAACTTTTATTCATTGAACTTTTTTAAAGTTTTTATTTTACGCGAAGGCGTTAGATAAAAACTTTAAATAAAATCAAAACTTTCAAAAACTTTGAATAAAATCAAAAATTATAATTTAAAATAAATGCATTATGTGTAAATTAAATGTTATAGTTTCTTTTTTTTTGTAGGTATGTATTTTTTATGTCTTTAGATAAAAATTTAGGATATATTTTTTCATTAGGGACCTCAGAATGACATGTTAAATATAAAATAGTATTGTTGCTAATATTGCTTAAGTAATCAAATATTATTTTTTTTTTTAATAACATATTTGCTTCTAACAAGGCTGCAAGCAACTACTATTAAAACTGGAAGTTACTGGAAGGGAAAAGATGAAGTTTATAGAGCAAGATAACGATTCACAGACGACTTGGAAAATTGCAAATTAATTAATCAGGAAAGCAAGATAAAGGGAGCAAATTCCAAAGAACTGATAATTGAAGGAAAAACTGGACAATTAAGAATTTTTGGAGCACTTACGAACAGTTGCAGTAAAAGGATGAGCCTTAATTAAATGACGAATAACACAAGTATGAATTTTAGTTAATGCCACAAGAGACGCTCTTTAGAGCAGTGCCCATTATAGTATTTGTAGAAAAGAAAAGCAAAGTTACGACGATATAGTAATGTTTGGAGGTTGGCTGCTAGATCAGGTCCAACAATATTTACAATGCATTTTTAGACCTTGTGTAAAAGAGAAAAGGTATTTTTGGAAGGTCTGTCACAGGTATGGCAATAGTATTCCGTACAGAATGTGTTGAGCACGATAAAGAGAAGCAACCTTAGCAGATGCTAAATTTGAAATCGATTTAATATATGGTTTCCAAGAAAGATCGAAAGTAAGAGTTATTCCTAGAAGGTGAAGGGCAATGACTCAACGAGTACACTACCATTCATAAATATAGATAGGTTTAAATTATTGCAATAACAATTGGCTGAAAAATATATTGGGTTTTATCTGAATTAAAGTTCACCAGCCACTGTGAGCCCCATGCTTTATCATAAGTGAGATCCATTTCAAACTCAAATGCCTTCTTCAAGCAATCAGAGAGTTTTGGCTTTTAATCAAGACTAGAATAAATGGTAGTATCGTCACCAAACAATGCTATCTTAGATGTGAGAATTTTAGGAGATTGTTAATGAGTAAAAAGAGTTTAGGGCTAAGGGTAGAATCTAGAGAAAGCCCTGAGGGTACAGGATATGAAGAAGAGTGCTGTCCATCAAGGACAACTTTTAACTATGATTGCAAAGGAAGGATTCAATTATCTTAATGATGTTACCTGATACACCATAAGAAGAAAGCTTATGAAGAAGACCAGCATACCAAACTTTATCAAAAGCTTTAAATATGTCAAGAGCGATAGCCTTACCCTCTCTGTCTCTATCTAATGCACGATAAAACCTATCCGTTATTACTGTTAGCAAATGATAAAACTTATCCTTTATTACTGTAGAAAGAGAAGATCGAAATCCATATTGATGATCAGAAAGTAAGTTATATTTAAGATGAAAGATTAATTGCTTGTTAAACAAAGATTCAAAAACCTTCCTTATAACAGGAAGAAAACTAATGAGATGGTTGTTAGACGAGTCAGATCGCTATCCTAATTTTTTGAAAATAGCGATTACAGATGTCGCTTTCCAGCATGCTGGAAAACAAGACTCTGATAAACACTTGTAGTTTTATTAGTTTTAAAAGTATAGACAACAACTCCGGAGAACACTTCTGAAAGACTATAACAGGTATGTTGTCCGAACCACAAGCTTTAGAAGAGTCTAAGCAGGAAATCAATTTAGATAAAGAAGCTGGATTAATAAAAGAATAAAATGCAATGAATCAATCTGTTTGTCGGCTATATCAGGTAAAATGCAACTAATAGAATCAAGAGATAATATTGATGAACTGTTATAGCAAACAATTCAGCTTTTCTTAAGGTGAGATGACAAAATCTAAACCATACTAGAAAGGTGGAATAACAATTTGTCCTTATTGTTGATACTGTTAAAGATTCGCCAGAAGTCACATAAGCCTATATTATGAAGTGAAATACAAGATTTCATGACCTGAGAATAGCAGACTTTGGCGTTAAGCAAAACCTTTTTACAATGGTTTTTAGCAATAGTAAACAGACTTTTGTTTTCTGAAGAATTGTTTTGCTGATAGATTTGGAAGTAATAGTTTCAATTGGAAATTGCAGCAGCACAATGTGAGGACAACCATGGAGAAAAGTGAGACTTGAATTGGAATTGTTGAGACGGAATAAAAGGTTCCATGCCATCCAGAATCCAAGAAGTTATGTAAGAAGCACATTTTTCAGCAGGAAGACGAAAGATTTCTAACCAAGGGCCATTGCGAAGAAAATAATAGAAAGAGTCTCAGTCAGTTTTAGGGTAGTTGTAAGAGGTATGATGATTGAGCAAAGTGCGCGCAAATTAATCATAACTAATATATAATAACCTTGTGACTGTTATCCTTTAATACAAAATAGTGAATTTTTTTCAATTTATTTAGTTAAATTTATTTAATTATAAAAAAAAGGATAAACTTAAAAAAATCTAAATAAAAAGGCTACTAAAAATAAAATAAAAGTTGTTTAGATATTTCTTTCTTAAAACATTTAAAAATAATAATATAATATTAAGTATTTAAAAATTTATTATGTACCTAATTAAGTAAAAACCTTAACTTGCATAATGTGTATTAAAAAGTCGTCCATAATGTACGCACGTTTTTTTTTTCTCAACCCTCCCTCCCCCCACCTTCCCTCCTTTCCCTTCCCCCTTCCCTCCTTCCCCCGCAATTTGCCCTACGCTTTTTTGAGTACTCTCTACCTCCCTAAAAGTACCTACGCTTTTAACCTACTAATCCAACATTTTGATGTTTTTTTTAATTTAGTCTCTCCATAGTTTTATCCTTCTGCCCCTTATTTCAGAAACGCCATTTGCAGACCTCCTCTTCCTCTCCGAACTTTATGGACGATCCCTAAATAAAAAGTCTTTTGTTTTAAAATAGCGTTTTCGAACAAAAGAGTTTGCATAAATTACGAAATTAATACAACTTTGTAAAACATTAAATTAAAAACATGAAACATTAAATTTAAGAATAGTCTATCAAAATAGTGTTAGGAGCTGTCCATTAATTACGTCAACAAATATTTTGAAATATTTACCTCCCCCTTGTCAACAATTTGTTAAATTTCCAGAGACCCCCCTATAAAATTACGTCAACTTTTATTACCATTCCCCCCCCCCCCCCCTCTCTCTCTCTCTCTCCCTATTCAAAGAAACTGCGTTACAAACTCAGCCTTATTTAAAAAGAAATTGTTGACGTCAACTTTAACTCCCCCTGTCCCCGTGAAAGAATTTTTCAAAAGGTTCAGACCCCCCTATTTTGTTGGTGTAATTAATGGACAACCCCATATTTATACTTTTACACTTTATTTTTATCGCGCTTTTTTAATTAGAAAATGTTATTACCACGAGCATTTTATTCTACTGAGACAAGAATTACAATAATAGAAGGCAAAGTGCCACAAGGTTTTATTTATAAGCTTCATTTACAAGCTATTTACATGAGTTTGTTGGGAGAAATTCAGTCACAAACAAAAATGTAATTTTTAATTATTTTGTTAAACATTTAAAAGCAACTTATCAAGTTTGAATGCATAAAAAAGAAAAAAGAAAAGTTTTAAAATGTTCATTAAAAACGGGTTTTTATTATTAGACATATCAATACATTTTTCTTTTGCTTATGGGGTCGTCCATAAATTACGTCACGGGGTCGGCGATTTTGTGACAGTTTGTAACTTTATTAAGTTCTTATTCAATATGATTTATTGATTCATTATCATAATATTGTCAACACAGATCAGGCATTGCAATTTTATCTAAAAATAAAATAAAGTAACAATCACCATAATCATTTAATAAAAAAATAAAAATTGTTTACCTGGTTTTTACGAGGGGAAGGGGGGCAACATTTATTTTTTAGACAGTTTTTTACGAGGGGAAGGGGGGCAACATTTATTTTTTAGAGAAGACGTTCTTTTTAGTAAAAGAATATCTGATGTATCCACATGTTGATTGTAAAATTAACTACGCCTAAATCTTACTTAGTCTATGTGTACACTTCGTTACAGCCTGTTAACGGACTATTAGGACTGTTTAAGCAGTGCACGTACTCCGCTTTGAATTTATACGGTTCAAGTGCAGAACTTTATTTAGTTTGTGCACAAAAGTGTGCAGCAACAGAAAAACAATCTTTGTGCAATATCTTAAAAAAAAGTATTTTCAGGAGGGGGGATTAAAAGTTGTTGCGTAATATTGGGGGTGGTGGTCAATAAAGTGTGACGGATGTTACGAGGTGGGGGGGGGGGGAGTATAAAAATGTTAAAAACTGCCTGACGTAATTTATGGACGACCCCAATAATATTTTGTAAAACGCTTTTTAATTTTAAATATTCTAAGTTGTGTTTTCGCTTTTTTTTTTTTGTTTTCGTACATAAAATACGGCTCAACCAGTTATTATATTAAGTTATTATTAAATACTTAATATGATATTATATTTATAATATTAAGTATTTATTAATAAAATATCATATTATTGGTGTTGTTGAACACGCAGTAAAATATGAAAATTAAAATAAACAATAGTTTTATATATTCTATTAGATTATATACATTTCTGCAAATCTTAAAAAATTTATTCAAAACATTAAAACTAGCAAGCAAAAATTACTCTTTTTTACCGTTAATAAAAAAAAGCACGCTTTTAAAGAAAGCAATGTTTTAGCATGGTTTCTTTTAAATAAACTTGGAAATCATTTAACAAAATTTTTTCAAGCTTTTTTAAACGCAAAAACAAACACTTTTGTAAAAACCATGCTAAAATATTACTCTTATCTTTAGTTGCGTACTTATTTATTAAATTTAAAAGTAACGTTTTTAAAGAAAGTATTAGCATGGTTTCTTTTTAAAATCTTTGAAAATGCGTTTTGAATTCTAGTAATTTAATGTTTTTAATATTAAATATGTTTTTTTATTATGGGCTGTCCATTAATTACGTCAACAATTTTTTTGAAACTTTTACCTCCCCCTTCCCCCTTGTCAACAATTTGTCAAATTTCAAAAGACCCCACTCCCCCCTCCTATAAAATTAAAATCGCTAAATTGAACACAATTGATTGCAAAGCACTGTACGTTTCTTGATAGTAATTTTACAAAATTTATTAAATTTACGATCTCTGTTTATCTTTATTTTACCCGTATTATTTTAATTAAAATAGATACCACTGATAGCGTTGCTGTGAACACGGATAATCACTACAAGTCTTTCAAACCAGGTAAACAATTTTTATTTTTTTGTTAAATGATTATGGTGATTGTTACTTTATTTTATTTTTAGATAAAATTGCAATGCCTGATCTGTGTTGACAATATTATGATAATGAATCAATAAATCATATTGAATTAGCACTTAATAAAGTTACAAACATTGATTATGCCCCATTTATAGTGATTCTACAGTCTAGTGGGTACGGAATTCTTTATGGGAACTTGCAAAAAAAAGAAAAGTTGTATATTTATTATGCCAGGATATTATATCTGGGGTTTTTAACCCTGGTGGGTTAAAAGCTCCAGACATTGTAAAAGTATTTCTAAAAAGATGTTCACAATGTAATTTACAACAAGCTGTAGAAATAGTTTGTAGCAAACTTTTCAAAGCTATTGACGTTGTTTCTTCTTGGTTTGAAACAGCTGAACTTCTTAGAAATGCACAAATTCTAATGGAAGGTTTCTTTGGAAATTTTTATAATGATCTTCTTATAGAGTGGGAGAAGTTGCATACGCCTCTTATCTTCCCGATAAAAGAAATAGATGATAAAATATCGCAAGGTAAAATTAGTACCTTAGATAATGAAATTCCTTTAGTTGTCGTCTTTGATGAAGCTAATGCGCTGTTTTCAAGCAAGGGAGATGTTCCTGAATCACCCTATAGATGTCTTTGCCGAGTATTATACGCTTGTGAAAACAAAATTAGAGTTTTTGCTGATACTTCTTCAGAACTTGCTCAATTTTTGCCACCTATGGCTTCGTCTGATCGACGAGGAGGTATAGGGATATTTCTTCCTCCCGGTATGGATATTCTTACAGTTGATGTGATTCCCATTAATACTGAAATGTCCTATTTTGTTAGTTTGTTTACTAGAGGTCGTCCTCTTTAAGCGATGTAATTGCGTTTGCGAGAAGAAAACAATCTAACGCGGCTTGTCCAGTTTGCTTATTACAAACTATCTGGTGCCTTTTTTGGTAATCAAGTTCCAGAAATCAGTGGCAAAATAGCTGTCTTCGCCTGTAGATTTGGAATGGGGCAAACAAGTAAAATGGCTTCCAAGCTTGTTTCGCATAACTTGGCAATTCTTATTGGAGTTGATTATGATCGTACCCAAGTATATTTTAAATACTTATCAGAATCAATTCTTGCAGAAGCATCTGCGTATGGTACATCTAAATACCCCTCTATTCTTAAAGATGTATTAGAAGCTGTCTGTGATTCACTTAATAATCAGATGATAAGCCCGGCAAGAGGTGATCGTGGTGAAATGGCTGCAGCAGCTGGGTTAGGTTTCGTGGCTGACGCTTTAAGATTTAAAAGTGTTTTAGATATTTATAATGGTTTTGAAGTAAATATGTCAAAAGAAATTCTAGCGAAAGACTTTTTAAAAGCTGTTTGCCCAAAACTTACTACTTGTGAGCCGCTAAAGGACTTTTTAATAAACTTTACGCATTTTTTATTGACTTTCAATTTCCCCAAATGCAAATGTATTGCCTTTTTTTGTGGGATAGGCGTATTGCTGTTTACTTATCAGCTGGATAAGAAGGTATTGATTTATTAATTGTAATGAAAAAGTCCAAAACATATTCAACAATTAGAATTCAAATAAAAAAACTAAAAGAACACATATCGCATACATCCTGTGAAAAATTGTTATTAAAACTTTCACCCATGCAATGGGCACCTAGGATTGCAGAAATTTTTTCCGTTGCATTAGTAATAGCTGTAGGAGATATCAAAATAGAACCGAGCTGCAAACTTTTACTTTGTTATAAAACAAAAAGATCAATAGATAATGAAAAAGTAACACAACTTTGGCTAACCTCTTCTCTTTCGTATTTTGATTTGGAAGAGTCAGTTAAAAAAAAAAGTCGCTGCTCTTGTTAGAAGATCTCTATCGTCTCGTATAATGGTTGGAGTTCGTTTAAGAGAAGCGAACTTTGCTTCATTGTATGATGAATCTATATGAAACTGGTTAACGTTTTTTTAATAAAATAATTTTATTAAAGTTTATTATTATTGCTTGGAAAAATTTTACTTTTTTAAGTGAAAAATATTTAAAAGAAATAAAGATTATCTATTTTATGAGTGTAAAACTAAAAGGTATATTTTCAGAAAAGGTTTTAGTTTTTATCTATTGTAGATCATTTCTTTCAACACTTTCTTGCGCTCTAGAAGGAAATTTGATATTTTTAATAAACTTAATTATTTTTTATTTTAAAATGATTACATTCCTGGGGGCGAGTTTACAAACCCTCTATAAGCACAGAATAGCAACTTTAATGGCGCAATTTAATTCGCTGTTTTTAAAGAGAGGCAATTCTGCAAAAACTTTCAAATAAAAATGTGCGGACGTTCAAGTTTCGTTTATTGTTAACCTTTCGGTAATTATTTTCCGTGTATTTTAATTAATTTGAATAAATTAAAATATACAGAAAAAACAAAAAATCTAATAACAATTTTAAATTTTAATAGATTTTGTAACAATTTTTTTTTAAATTAGACTTAGTGCTTACTATTTTACTAATTGAGAAGTATTTTAATCAAATTAAAGCTATTCATAAACGATGTTATATGAGAGAAGAAAGTCAATCTATACGTAGAAAATGTATGCAAATGGTATTTGATATTGCAATAACTCAATTTGATTAGGTAGACGTGTATTTCAGGCCACCCCCTTTTTTTAAACCACCCCCTTATTAAAATCCACTCTAACCCTGATCACCCCTTTATTAAAATCACTCTAACCCTGATCGAAAGCAGTAAGTCTTGTATAATACTTTTTTATAGACATACTAAAGAAGTTGCCTATCGCATAGCATTGTTTTCGTTACCCAATGAGCTCAACACGTGTTTTAAGCAGGGTTTATCTTTTTGCGGATATTTCCGGAGTTCCGGATATTTTTTATTCCAGATATCCAAAATATTTTCAATACATGCAAGTTGAGTTATATATTTTTGTAATATATTTATTTTTTAAGCTTTTTCACTCATCATATAAAAAAAAAATATGAAAAGTAACAAAAGGGACACTGAGTAATGTTTTATATTGATTGAATAAAAAGCCCTTTTGAAAATATTTCTAAATTTTAGTTTTAAACAATATTCAAAGTTTTTTAGAGTATATATTTGAATAAAAGTCAACTCTTTAATCGTTACCTAATTTTGGTGCGCAATTGCTCCAGCGTCAGGTTAATTTTTAAAAAATGCAAGTATTATATAAAATGAACAAAAAGAGTCAGAAATATTGGTAAATTTTATTAAAAGTTTAATTGAATCTATAATATATTAAATAGACCTTACTACAATTTAGAAGTAATGTTTTAATACATTACTAGCTGGTATGACCCGTACGATACGGGTCGTGCCAAGTCTAATCCACACCCGACAATTTCTAAACTTGTTCCTTAGTCTTTATACTATAATTTAATTAGTAAACGGCAAAAAATAAATCAATTTGAAGTTTGAAATGGTAAAATACGAATTTTAATTGCAATTACAATTAAAGTTCGCATTTTACCACCTACCAGATGGTAAAATGCGAACTCTTAGGAAAATTAAATCATACCTCATTTGCTCATTAAATTATAATTAATTTAAAAGAAAAGTCTAATTTAAATAAAATATATATAGAATACCAGTATAATGTTTTTAACATCATGACTGTTGTGGTTATTAAAATGTTTTGGATCGCTAAAAAGTACACAGTTTGCATTTTACTGGTTTTTAAAACTAATTAGTATTTTTACTTATTACATATATTTTATAAAAGCCTTTCCAGTAGGCACGGACGTAAAAAAGACGGTTAAAATGTCTTGTACACGTCTTTTTTAGGTCCGATGCCCACTGGGTTTCTGTAAAAAAACTCTTAAATTTTTTATATAATTATTAAAAATTTATATAATTGTTGAAATATATTAAAATTGTACTGTTTTAATTGCGGAATTAGCTATGGTGATCCGTTCGATAAGGGTCGCGGCAACTCTATTCCACATCCTATTACCAAACTTGTTATTAGTTAGGTCTCTATACTATTATATATTATTTATTATTATTATTATTATATATTATATATTTATATATATATATTACTATCTTATATATAAAGTAAACAACAAAAAATAAGTTGATTTGAAGTTATTGGCAACAATTGACTAAATATACTTTAGAAACTGTACTTATTTACCTAATGTACTCCAATATTTAAATATAATATTGCTACAGAAAGTAATTACCTCGGAGAATTTAACCATAATTGTCACTATTGTAGTGTAAAGATATTTTTAAATGAAAATCGTTTTTTGTGCTGCCATTCAGGAAAAGTTGTATTAGCTCCTCTTTCACTATAACCACCATTGTTGACTGATTTAATGACAGGAAACCATGTTGATCATGCTGTAAATCAAAAAAATTTTAAACACACAAGAAGTTTTAATTTCTCTTTATCTTTTGCCAACTTCACTGCCGAATTAGCTCCTCCCTCAAATAATGGTCCTTTCTGTTTTAAGGTCTGTGGGAAAACTTTGGTATCGTGTTCGAAATTTGAGGCCTGCAGAATTTTCCCAAATATTGTCAGTAATATATCTATGATCCTAATGCAGCAGTGTCATCCAGAATGAAGCAACCTGGTAATGATGGTTGTATATGTGAGTTAATGCAACTTTTGCAAACATTAATTAATCAAGAAAACCCATTTGCTCTTGCATTTAAAAACATGGCAGAATTAGAGGATTAAGAAATCCGCCGAACAGCTTTAGAAAGTAGACCAACTTCTGCTGTAAGAACGTATTTGCTTGAAAGTCATGATAGATGTTGATACCATCTTCCTTCCCATGAGGAGGTTGCTATTGTGTTTGTGGGAGATGATGGTGCTCCACCTGCATCCAGGGAAGTTGTTATATACCCTCGAGGTCAGCCTTTGAAAACAATTTTGTTTATGTTTGCAAATTTAGATCCTATGGTATATCCAATATTTTTCCCGAAAGGTGATGCTGGATGGCACAATCAACTGGAGCACAACCCTGACCACGCAACCCGTGTTAGAAACCATGTTATTTAGTCTCTATTATAATTATAGGCTTGCGGTTAGACAAACTTTTAGCCCTGTATTTTATGGTAAGAAAATTTTCAGCAATACGTTGTTGATGCATATG